CCATTGTTACATGAGCATATTTAATATTTCAAATAGTTTCAAAATATTATAAATAAAAGGTTCATATATATAAAACTTTTAGAATTTAAAATATCGAAATATTTTTTTGAAGATATAAATGTAATTTTGGAGACATAATTTTTATTGATAAAATATATTATATATCAAAATATGTAAATTTTAGATAATTCACGGGTAGTTTGTTAAAATCACAATTATAATGATAAAACGAGTTACGAATAATGTTTTTTACGAAATGAATTCTGTTACGGGTTGGACTTTCAAAAAATATATTGTAAATATGTAATTTTTACGTATATTCCTACTTTTACTACAAAAATGGCCAAAATGAATAATTTATCGACAAACATTATTTCGTGCTGTTAAATTTTCACCGTGTTTTTAGTTGTATCAAAACTCAGTATATGATTATTTACTCGCTTTTTCCTTTATTATTTTATTTAAACTTATTATACAAATATATGATTTACCGTAATCGACTGCACTCTAACAAAATTAAAATGTAACATATTTTAATCCGATAAAAGTTATATATATGTAATTATTTCCCCCGCGCTGTAGCGCGGGTCCGAACCTAGTTAGTATAGTCCAAGAAAAAACCACTCATTAATACATAGTAAAATTTCTAACCACTAAAATTGACACGTGTCACGGTTACGTGAGTTACTAAATTTAAAATCCAAACTTTTATATAATTAGATAAGTTTTACTGCAAGATACATCGAATCTTAATATTTTTTTTGTGTATTTAAAGGCCCATTAAAGGCCCAAATAGAAGACGTTCTGGTAAGGCCCAATAAAGGCCCAAATAAAAAACGTTCGTCTCCATCCGTCAATTCTCTGGTCGCAAGCTTTCCACGGTTCAGACTTCTGCGAATGGATAATGTAACGGTTTAGCTCTCTTCTCTCTCTTCCCTCACTCTCTCTTCACTTCCATTAAATCTTACGGCGATGAGCTTGGCTTCCGTTTCCTGCTCGCCGCCACCGTGCTTCCGCTGCGGAGCTTACATCTTCTCCTTTTCTTCTTCTTCTTCTTCCTCACCTCTCTGTTTGTATTTCCCGCGTGGTGACTCTATTTCCCTAAGGCCTCGAGTTCGCGCCTTGCGAACGGAATCTGACGGCGCTAGGATCGGTAACACTGAGTCGTACGGTTCGGAATTGCTTCGTCGGCCGCATATTTCGTCGGGGGAAAGCTCTGAAGAGGAGGAAGAGAGCGGCGAGGGTGATGAGTTCGTCGATTGGGAAGATAAGATTCTTGAGGTTACCGTTCCTCTTGTTGGCTTCGTTAGAATGATTCTTCACTCTGGGAAGTAAGTTTAAGCATTTTAGGAGGCAATTGATTTCAGAATTTCATAGTCTAGATGGAGAATTTAACAATTCTTTTGGTGTTTTTGCTGTGTTGTTTACTCGTTGATACTTGATATGATCTTAATAGGAGCTGGAGAGTTTCTCTGTAACTTGGAAATTGGATCTAGCTTCTTCTGATTTCACATGAGTTGATAAGCTCTAAGAATTTAGGAGGCATTTGATTGCAAGAGTTTTTGTTGTCTAATTGAGTTGTTTACTGGTTGATATGGGAGCTCGAGAGTCTCTCTGTATCTTGGAAACTGGTTCTACCTCTTCTGATTTCGCATGAGTTGGTGGTATCTGTTGCTACTGCGTTAGCTCGAATTGTTTAGAATGCGATCGATTGCGGGTTTTTTAGTCTAGATGGGGAATTTATTGGTTTATATTGTCATGTATTGGTTCTTGTTCTTCTGATCATGCATGAGTCATGTCTAGAAGTATTTAGGAGGCAATCGATTGCAGAAGTTCATAGTCTAGTGTTTATAGCTTGGTATGATCATGTATTGGTATCTGTAGCTACTGTGTAAGCTTTAAGCATTTAGGAGGAAATCGATTTCAGAACTTCATACTCTTGATGGGGGATACTGACACTTGTTTGTCTAGTTTAGTGTTTATTGGTTGATATGATAAAGTATTGGTTCGAGTTGTTCTGAGTCATGCCTGATAGAATTTACTTGATTTGCTTTATTGCTGAGGTTGAAAGGGATTAGATTAGCTATTTTTCAGTATGGATTAGATTTGAATTGCTGCTGCTTGTATGTTCATCCGTTTAGATAAAGAGTTCATGATGAATTATATTTTTTGATTCAATGGTAGCTCTGTGTGGCATTTGAATTTTGCAGATATGCAAACCAAGATAGGTTAAGCCCTGAGCATGAGAGAATGATTGTTGAGATGCTGCTACCTTATCACCCTGAGTTTGAGAAGAAGATCGGATGTGGGATTGACTATATCATGGTATATATTTATGCTTTTGAGATTTGGAAACAACATGAGTTTGACATATTGCTTCTAATGGTTATCCTGAAAACTGACATGACATTGTAATGCACACCAACTAATAGTCCTTGATTACTTTGGTTTGTGGTTGTAGGTTGGGCATCACCCAGATTTTGAGAGCTCTCGATGTATGTTTATAGTTCGAAGAGATGGAGAAGTAGTCGACTTTTCGTATTGGAAATGCATAAAAGGTTTGATAAAAAAGAAGTATCCACTGTATGCAGACAGTTTCATCCTCAGACATTTTCGCAAACGTAGGCAGAACAGATGAATGAAGAAGCCTTATTGTAGATTTTCAAACTCAAAAACGCTCGTTGGACTCGGATCCTCTCGTCTCACAGACTACGCATCCTACAAGGTTTTGAAGTGAGAACTCAAGACAGAGAAGAAGATCCAGTCACTATTTTTCTTTGAGTTGGAATTACAAAATGGAACTTTCTAGAAAAATATGGTTTTCGCAGGAGATATGAGTAAATTAGAAGAACCATCAGAAATTTTTAAATATGTTCATTATCTAAAATCTTTGGCATTTATATGATAAAAGTTTTTCAATTTAGCTTATGTGCAGAGGTAAGAGAAAGGGTACACACTTGAGTGCAGGATTTGAATATTGAGATGCACTTTGCTTTATAAAACTGTTTTGTACTTCGGTTCTCAGTTTGGTTAATCGAAATAAATAAAATGGTTAATTAGACCAATGACCAAAAAATATGACCCAAAACAAAGAATACCCTATTCACTTATTAACTTTTTTTTTCTTAACACAAACCATATTTTTAAAAGTTTTTCTATCAACCATTTCCAAGTACTGAAATATGTACGTTGAAAACTATATTTTCGACGAAATTTGGAGTAAAATGTACTGAAGATCGAAGATTCCGGTATAAAACCTTGGAATTATATTACCTATTAAACAATAAATTATTCAGGTATTTAATATACATATTCCAATATTTTTATTATTTATAAAATATTGAGATATACTTTAAAATACAACATACTGTATATTAGCTTTTTATTTCAATAGTACCAGTACCACCATTAGTTTACTTCTGAAATAATATATACCACAACTTTTTGTATAAAAATACTTATTTCTGCTCGATAAATTACAAAGAAAACTAAATATTTTGGTTTCTCTCTTTTCACTTTAAGGTTTTTAATTGCATCATTAAAAATGTATTTTAAGCCATTTTATTATTGAATTTGTGGTAGTTCAAACTTCTTCTTTTCTTGACGACAATAATCAAAAATCTAGACGTTATGAGAGAGTAGACAGCATTTCAAAATCAAATACCTCAAGTTGTCTAGAAATCTACACTTCCAAACAACCAACACTAGCACATCTGTATGCCTCTACACTTCCAGATCTAGAACAACAGTTATCACACCCTACTCAAGCAGACGTCGCAGCCAAAGGCGTGGCCAACCATCCTGCAGCTGGAAATGTCGTGCCCAACAACGTCGCACCCGACTCTACCGCGCTAAAAAACGATGCAACAGTTAACCAAGACATATTTTAATTTTTCAATATTCTCAAAATACATTTGAATGATCACACTTATGATTGATCTGTTTAATTTGCATTTAATTTTGTTTACTCTGCTTGATAAGCTTAATTTATATTAATTGATTTGCTGAATCGGCTAGATTTAGATATTTAAGTCATCTTAATATTGAATTTGTGGTATTATTCGAAAATAAACTAGTAATGGTATTATTGGAAAAAAAATGCGGTACTTTTCATAATTTCCTTGAATTACTTTGATACTACGGTTGATTTTATTTTACTATTCAAACCACTTTTTTAAAAATGCATTTGATAGATTGCACGTTTGCTGCATCAATCAGCTTGATGTGTTTAATTTACATTTGATTCACTTACTCTACTTGATACGCATAATCTATATTTGATTCACTTAATCGGCTTGATATGGATAATAAGTCATATGTAAAATTTGGATATCTTCATTATGTTAGTCACTGGATAACATATTTCATGTATGACCATCTGCTTGATCTGTTTAATTTACTCTGCTTGATAAGTTTAATCTATATTTTTGATTCGCTTAATCGAGTTGAAATACATAATTTGATATACTAATTTCATTCAAAGCTTATTTCTTTCTCCCATTAGTTAAAACAATTAATAAACGAAAAAAATACTTTTTGGGTAGATTCTAGAGTAACTTCCAATCTAGAATTTTTTAGAATAAAATTCTAAACAAACTTTCAAAACTTGTTAAACTATAATACTAGCTAGTAGCTAAGAGTCAGTGATGTACTTTACAAGAAACAAAAAAACATTACTATAATTAGTGAATTGAGAGTATTATTGTCCTTGTAATCAATTCTTTAAACCTTTGAAAACGTATTATAAGGTAAGTTTGATATAATTGGACATAAACAAAAAAAACTAAAGAGACGTGGACCAACCTAAAGAAGCAAAAAAGAGAAGACTCTCTTTGGTTTTTCTGACATCTTCACCACGAAAAACAAAGTCAGATGTTGAAAGCCAAAACAAATCTGTCCGTCCACGTTTACATCAATATATCAACGGCTGAGTTTTTTGGGTTCGTAATGTGTTCTGTCGGATCGAGGTTGGTTCGTGGTTTTGTTAATGGTCGTTGGGACAGTGATGGAGCGACACGTTCGTTCGTTACAACTACTTTTAAATTAGAGTAAGAAGTAAGGTTAAACAAATAACAAAAAGTTAAGTGATTGATTTATTTTGGGACTTTGTCACTTTGGGAAGCACACAATTCAACTGTGATTGATTTTTCTATAAAAAAATTTGACTGATGTTAATTGGTTAATTAGGAATTTTTTTTTTGAAAAAGTGGTAACTAGAAGTCTAGAAGTTGACTAGAAGGAAAAAAAAACGGCTAATTAACACAATTATTAAGGGAAAAATATAATCTTGGTTATATATTGGAAATATAATTTCTAAACACTCTCGATGTATTTCGATCATATATCTAACATATCATATTGCGTATAATATTTTGACTCTCTATGATTTATTTACATTTTTTAGAAGCAAATAATAAAATTGAAAAAATTAACGATTTTATATTTTTTTAGCATAAAACCCGTTTATCTTCTACGTTAAAATTTAGATGTAAAAAGTTTAGATACAATCTGAATAATAAAATATTAGCTGCATTCGTCCAAAACTGTTTTTAAAGTGAAAAATAACATCTATTTTGGGCTCTATTTTTATGGTATATATAATACCTTAATACAAAATAGGTAAACAAATGCTATTTGTTATAGATGATTTACAAAAGCTATGTGATATTATGTAAAATAATATATAAAAGTAAAAAAGAAAATAAAAATTTGTAATTTTTATTTAATAAATCGATGCTATTTTAGAAACCACTAAACAAAATAAGATTTTATTTTCCATCATTTATAAAAATAAAATGATCTATATTTACTTATATATAATCAAACCAAAACATATATATCCAAAATTCAGTCTTTAAATAAATAACGAGAATACCCAATATTTTCGAAACCCTAATTTATTTTCCATCGTTTATTCATAAATTTATCAATAAATAACCAAAACAATTCATATAATCTAACTGATGTGTAAGCTAGAAGAACGACAAAATACAAAAAACAACGCTTAAAACCAAAAAGTAACATTAGGAAGGAAAAAAAAAGCTTAAAGAGTCAAAAGTGACTCAAAATAAAATATATATAAAAAGTTAAGTGTATATACCAATTTACTAAAGTACTCTCCAATAAAGAAATGTTTAGTATTTATTTCGATTGTTAGGAGACAGAGAGAGACACTTGGCTGAGCAGACGAAACACCTAATCACCCAAACGAAGAAGCAAACATTTTGAAATTTTTTTGGGCATAGAGAGAGAGACGAAGCACACACACACACGAATCAATTTCTAAAAAGGGTAAAGGTGTTAGATTTTTATTCTTTTGATATTTCATCTCTGTATCTGTGTAGTGTAGAAGAAACTTGAAACTGTGAAGCCTTGAGATGCTTAGCTTGCTCATCTTCTTCTTCTTCTTTCCATTTATGTCCATACTTAGTTTTGGATAAATTACTAATTTTGCTTATACTTGTCTCATAAACGCATTTAATAAACCCCTTTGTTCGTTGAATCTGGTTTTGTCCATTTGAATCTGTTAATGTTATTGGGTTTGCAGATTTCTGGATTTGTTTATACATATTAGGTTTGTGATACTATAAAGTTTGGATTTTTATACTAAAGTTTGGATTTTTATTTTCAGATCCTAGTTTGCAGATTAGGTTGGGAACAGATTTTGCAGAAGAAAATGGATGGTAATGTGAGTTTCAAGAACAATAATTTGGGGAATGAGCCACCAGGTGATGGTGGTGTAGGAGGGTTGACTAGACCGGGGTTGACTAGACAAGGTTCAATATACTCGTTGACTTTTGATGAGTTTCAGACCAGTTTAGGGAAAGATTTTGGGTCAATGAACATGGATGAGTTGTTAAAGAACATATGGAGTGCTGAAGAGACACAAGCTATGGCTAGTGGTATGGTTCCAGTTACTGGTGGAGGACAAGAAGGGTTGCAGTTGCAGAAGCAAGGCTCGTTGACTCTGCCTCGAACGCTTAGTCAGATGACGGTTGATCAAGTTTGGAAAGATCTCTCTAAAGTTGGAAGTAGTGGAGTAGGAGGAATGAGCTTGTCTCAGGCTCAAGCTCAGGCTCAAAATCAGAATCAGAGCCAGAGTCAGAGGCAGCAAACTTTAGGTGAAGTAACTTTGGAGGAGTTTTTGGTCCGTGCGGGTGTTGTAAGAGAGGAAGCTCAGATTGCTGCAAAAGCTCAGATTGCTGAGAACAATAAAGGTGGTTACTTTGGTAATGAGGCCAACACAGGTTTCACTGTTGGGTTTCAGCAGCCTTCTCCACGAGTTGTTGCCGCTGGTGTAATGGGAAATCTTGGTGCAGAGAATGCAAATCCTTTGCAGGTTCAAGGTTCTAGTTTGCCTCTGAATGTTAATGGAGCTAGATCTGCATACCAGCAACCGCAACAACAACAGCCAATCATGCCTAAGCAGCCTGGTTTTGGTTATGGAACACAAATTGGTCAGCTTAATAGTCCTGGGATAAGAGGTGGTGGCATTATGGGACTTGGAGATCAGTCTCAAACGAACAATATGGGATTGGTCCAGGGTGCTGCTGCTGTAATTCCTGGAGCTGTGTCTCCTGTTACACCATTGTCGTCAGAAGGGCTAGGGAAGAGTAATGGTGATTGTTCATCACTCTCTCCGTCTCCTTACATGTTTAATGGTGGTGTAAGGGGTAGAAAGAGTGGTACTGTAGAGAAAGTTGTTGAGAGGAGGCAAAGGAGAATGATAAAGAACCGAGAATCAGCTGCAAGGTCACGAGCCAGGAAACAGGTAATATGTCAAATCTCTTCATCACCATCTTTTGATATGCCCTTGTTTGTGTTATGCGCCAAAAGACTTGTAAAGCAAATTTGGTTGGTTATCTTGTAGTTTAGTTCTTCTTTGGCCCACAATGAAATGTTAAATTCAAAGCTTTAAGTTTCTTATCTATTAAATTAGTGTAGCAAACAGAATTATTGAGACTTGATTTGAAAACGTGCATAAGTACTTGTAGTTCTTGTGGTTGAATGAATCTTGAATACAAATATGAACGTTCTGGTTTTGGTGTATACACATGTTGCATCCACAGATGTTCACAGCAGACCAGACCATATATTGGAATGTAATTTGCTAATGTCTCAAGCTGGCTCAGAGTATTGAGGGTTCGAGTTCATCAAGAAGTTGTAGTGACTCCATTTTTATTTATTTTATGAGGGTAGGTAAAGAGGGTGATTGGTGCTACCTAAACATAAAAATTTAAGAAACTAGACATGTCACATTCCAATTTGCTAAGTTCTAAATTTGAGGGTCTTACGTTTTGAATGACATGTTAGTATATCTCCAAAGCTTCTCAAATCTGGTTGATATGCTTTGTAGGCTTACACTGTGGAGCTTGAAGCTGAAGTTGCAAAGTTGAAGGAAGAGAACGACGAGTTACAAAGAAAGCAGGTAACCCAATCAATCATAACTTAGTTTACTTACTAAGTTTACTTACTAATCATATGCCACATGTTATTACAGGCAAAGATTATGGAAATGCAAAAGAATCAGGTAATAGTTCTTATCCCATTGCAACACTAAACTCATCAAATACCGCAGTCCGCAATCTCTAAACCGCACATTCATAGCTGAACTTATAAAACCCTTGCTGTTTCCGTTCTGTGTATGTTATAAAACAGGAGATGGAGTTGAGGAATCTTGTTCAAGGAGGTCCAAAGAAAAGACTGAGGAGGACAGAGTCAGGACCTTGGTGAATCAATGCTCATACTTAGTTTCTGTACATAGAAATCACATCCCCACTTAGGTGTTTAGTTAAAGGACTTAATAGAGAAGAGCTTTTCATCGTTTATATTGTAAGTTCTCTCCATATATGCTATGTTATACCTTTACACAGGACCATCAGATTCTCTTTTGCTTTAACTAGACCAAGATTTTGTGTTTTGTGTAACATTTTGTGTGTTTTCTTGTTGTTGCTTGTCGATTTACGAACTCAAATTACAGTTTCTTGATCTTGGAGATACCAATTTTAAATTATGACTTGTGCCAACACAAACATAATAATAATAAAAATAATATGATTCTAGTTAATAGAAACATGATACTTCAACACTTTCCACCATTTTCGTTAGTCCTAGGCGAAAAGCCCGAACCAAATGCACTGAACCAAACCAAAACTAATGCACTGAACCAAACCAAAACTGAACAAAAATTTAGAAGAACCAAAATTGAACTGAAATTGACTGAAAAACCGAATGAATCTTATATTCATGTTCAAAAGTATATAAAACTAAATTATACCGAGCCGAAACAAATCGAAAACGGAAAAATACCCGAATTATCTAAAATACAATTATATACTTAAAAATATTAGTTATTTTTTTATAGATAAAAAGACTAAAAAACTACCAAAAATAAAAATATTTGAATAATCTAACCAAAAAACCAAAAAATCCAACATATCTAAATATTCAAACTGAAACTGACCCGAAAATATCTAAAATTACTCGAAAACACCGAACATATCACAAAAATACATAATACACCGAAAACGCTGAATTATATCACAAAAATATCCAAACTTTTTTGGTTAAAACCGAAACAAATAAAGAATATCCTAAAATAATTCAGTTTTCGATCGTATGCTTATATAAAAATCAAAACCGAACTAAAACCGAAAGAAACCGAACCGAAATTTAAAAATACCGAACCGAATACTAAGTTTTCGTTTTCACTCTGATTCTCTCTCTCTTACTTGCTCACTCAAATTCTCTCAAGTTTTTGTTTCGTCACGTCAGGAATCAAACACGATTCTTAGGTATTCCCGTCGTACCAAACTCGATCATGACTTAAGCCGCCGTGTCCTGTAATGGGTTTATTATTGTGTTCTTAATGTATTGTCTGAAATTGAGAACATTTCGATTTAGCTTTTGATTTCTGTGGAAACGAACACAAAAATTGTTTCTTTCTCTTTGGAAATTTCTGGGTTTAGGTTTACTGAACTCAAATGTATCAAAATTAGTAAATACATTGTCTTTACTGTTGCTTCTGTCTCTAGGTTCCTTTTAATTTGAAAACTAAGGTGTTTCATTGTTGTCTTTGTTCTTGTTGTTGCATAGGTTTGGAAACTGATCACTCTTGAGTTGGCTTTCTTGTGTTAATCCAATGATTGGGAACTGATATTTTTTTACTCCAATTTCTTCAGAAACCAAAGAGAAGACAGAAAATGGCGCCTAGAGGAAGAAAAAAGGTAAGCTTTATTGTTACATAGAGGATTTAACCATACTTAGGAAAGCTTTGTTGTTACATAGAGGATTTGAACAGATCAGTGTGGTGGAGGGTTTGGGACTTGGGAGAATAATTAGGTTTCTGGTTTGTTTCATTTGTTCTTGGATTTCTCGTTTTGTTTCAATTGATTCTCAGTGAGAAATATATAGCTGTTTGATGAGTGTTCTTCATTCTTCTATGGTTTACTCTCTTTTATAGTGTTTTGAATTGCTAGTTTAATTCTCCTTATGTTTGCAGCAGATTGGATTGAGGCGAGAGGATGCAGCACGAGACCGCATGAAAGAGTATGGGTTTGACAAGCGTGTTATCAGTGCGAGTATCAAGCATGTGCTAGAGGTTTGTTTAACAGTTTTTGGAGTCTCCATTTTCCCTTTGGTTGAAAAAGAAGTTTCCTTTAAACTTGAAAGTGACGCTTTTACCATTTTGGATTTCAGGTGTATGGTGAGGACCAATGGTTTCTGATTGAAGATGGTAACTATGCTGCCCTCCTTTCTATCTGTCTGGAAAAGCAAGAGGAGCAAGGTAAACAAATGGTGGCCGAGGAACGAGAAGAAATGGGTCTGATAAAACAAGAAGAGGAAGAAGAAAAGGTGATTTGTTCTTCTTGGTCACAAATTTGTGTTACTTTCATTGTTGGTATTAGTTTGATCAGAGACTATTTGACTGGTTTCTTGAGTCCATATGTTACTAAACATGCGATATGAATGTTGTGTGCATTACAGGAGGCTGATGCGTTATTGATCACTAACAAAGCAATCATGGACTCATCAACGCCAGCTTTTCAATTCGCAGAAGCATCAGTAGATTATGCACATCATTCTGGTGGAGGTATATACTCATCTCGATAACAATCTCAATGCGCATGAAACATTCTTTTACTGAGGTCAAGATCATTCTTCAGATGCCCAGAGTTCTCACTGTGGGTGGCTAAGCAGCGAGGAGGAGACAGATCCGGATAAGGAAAGTGATGGTGATGGTGATGAGATGATTCAGCTCACTCCAGAACCTCTATGTGAAGAACTTGAAGAGCTTCTCAGGGAAGTATATAGACAGAAGAAGATGAAGCACAACTAAGCTCATGTAACTGCAGTTGATATATATATCAGAGTTAAGTTAAGAAACTAGTAAGTACAGTGAAAAAGTAAGCTAGTATTGGAGACTTAACAAGTTAATATATTGGTTTAATTTAGTTTTTAAGAAAATTTGTGATGAGTTTACAAAAAAGTGTTTTAAAAGTTCTTTGGTATAATTTGTGTTAAAAAATTAAAATTTTCAAAAGGAGTATATGATAAACCAATTTAACAATTATCGCGAAAATAATTTTGCGTGTCATAAAATATGCAACAGAGTGTTATTAATATATTTTGTCACAAAAAAAAAAAAAAAATCTCCAAACGCAGTTTAAACTTAAATTTAATATTTAAACGTAAATTTAATTTTTTACCTTAAATTAATTATTTCTGAAATACAAGTGAAAATGGTAGTAAAGTTCCATTGTGAAGAAATAATAAAAAAAAGACTCTTTTTGCAAAAAAAAAAAAAAAAAAAAACTCTTCGGTGATACAATTGTGATGTGAGGCAGTGAACACAAATGGTAGCAAAGTTTAAATAGTCTCTCTCCTTTTTCTCGTTAGTCATCGTCATTGAAATGATTCGCCGACCCAAAAGAGCGATTTGTTGTTTTTCAATTTGACATGAAGTACGCCTACCACATGTTCGACGAAATTCCTGAACGAGCTTTTCTTCTACTAAATTCCTTAACAAGTAAGTAAGTTCGTTCTTTCTTTGTAGTTGCACCACCACTTAGGTTAAAGTAAACAGTTTTGTATCGGTTAGTTTCAGTGAATGGGAAATGAGTTCAATCTATTTTACTTGTGCTTGAAACTGTTGTTGTATGGAAAATTTAAGAGCAAAACATGCTTATGTGTATTTACTTCTATGAGAAACCAAAGACCTGGCATATTAGAATATTATATGCAATTGTTCTGAGTTGCAATTTTGGATCATATGTTTCCCCAAGACTAAAAAGTCAATGGGGGCATTCCGAGAATCGAACTCGGGACCTCTCGCACCCAAAGCGAGAATCATACCACTAGACCAAATGCCCTTGTTTTTGATGTAAACCATTCAGTGCTCAACTGTTATTGATAATTGGATACCAGTTTAAGGCTGTGTTTTGTTTTTTTTTTTTGTTTTTGTCACTTCCTGCAGTTATCTTTTGAAGAAATTGGTAGCATTCAGCTAGTTACGTTCTGTGTTTATTCCGTTCCGTTATCAAGAAACTGTTTTCTTGCTGCTTAATGCGAGTCAGTGGACGTCAAAGCCAAGGTACATTTTGAGTCTCATTATATTTGTAGCAGTTTATACTAGACAGGCTTGTAACGGGAAATTGTTTTCGAGTTTAACCTTGCTAGAAACTGTTAGAAAATGCATTAAAGAACATGTATTTCCATGATAGTTCTTACTGGTATTTAAATCAGACATCCAAAAAAGTCAACGGGGCATTCCGAGAATCGAACTCGGGACCTCTCGCACCCAAAGCGAGAATCATACCACTAGACCAAATGCCCTGTTGCTAAGCAATTTAGTTTAAAAATTAAAGGCCATCATATGTATTTGGTCATATTGTTGTCTGGTGCTCTAAGTTGACGTTGACTTAAATATTTTAGTTTTAATAGGATGTTCCTAGATCTATTCTATGAGACCTCTTGCACCATGTTTGTTGTTTGCAATATACTATAGATGGCTCAATTAGCTTTCTTACATCAGTCATTTGAAAGCTTTCCAGTAGTTTGATTCATTATGATCTTTTTTTGTCTTGACTTGATCATACCACTATTTCTCCAATTCTTGGTTATTAACTAGTAGTACCCTAGACAATACAACATATTGGTTAAGTTTAGGTAAGTACACATGGCTGAAAGCTGAATCTGATCTGTGACAATTAGTCACCAAATACATATATATAGTCAAGAATTCAGAGATGGAACTTAGAACTTATGGTTTTGAAAAAAGTCAATAGGGTATTCTGAGAATCAAACACGCACCCAAAGTGAAAATCATACCACTAGAAAAACTACCTGGTTATTGTGTTTCTATCTGAATGTAGTTTATTACAAATTAGAAACCAAGGCTATGCAATTTTTCTGAGCTGCCATTTGGACGATATGTCTCCCAAGAAAAAAGTCAATGGGGCATTCCGAGAATCGAACTCGGGACCTCTCGCACCCAAAGCGAGAATCATACCACTAGACCAAATGCCCTGTTGCTGATATTAATCATCCAATGCACAACTGTTATTGATACTTGGATACCAGTTTTAGGCTGTGTTTTGTTTTTTGTTTTTGTCATTTCCTGTAGTTATCTCTTGTAGAAAATCGATAGCATTCAGCTAGTTATGTTCTGTGTTTATGCCCTGTTGCTGATATTAATCATCCAATGCACAACTGTTATTGATACTTGGATACCAGTTTTAGGCTGTGTTTTGTTTTTTGTTTTTGTCATTTCCTGTAGTTATCTCTTGTAGAAAATCGATAGCATTCAGCTAGTTATGTTCTGTGTTTATTCCGTTATCAAGAAACTGTATTCTTGCTGCATAATGTGAGACAGTGGACGTCATAGCCAAGGTACATTTTGATTCTCATTATATTTATAGCAGTTTATACCAAACAGGCATGTTTTCTAGTTTAACCTTGCTAGAAATTGTTAGAAAATGCATTAAAGAACATGTTTTTCCATGATAGTCCTAACCTGGTATTTTAAATCAGACATCCAAAAAAGTCAACGGGGCATTCCGAGAATCGAACTCGGGACCTCTCGCACCCAAAGCGAGAATCATACCACTAGACCAAATGCCCTGTTGCTAATCAATTTAGTATAAACACTGAAGATCACCGTATTTGGTCATATGGTGGTCTTGTGCTCAAAGTTGACTTTTACTTAATAATTTAGTCTTGATAGGATGTTCCAAGATCTAGATTTTATGAGATCTCTTTCAATTCAGTCCAATGGTTTGCAATGTACTCTGTATAGAAATAGACCAGAAATATCTTGATTCACTTGTTCAAACTTCTCTGGCCTATTAGAAGCTACATGTTTTAGTCGGCTGTGTTACATCAATCACTCAAAAGCTCTCCAGTGTTCATATCATTAAGATCTTGTCGTAAATTTTGACTTGATCATACCACTATACAAAATTCTTGGTTATTAGCTAGCATCCTAGACAATATCCCAGTAATATAGGTGAAGTTTTATGTATATAGTCAAAGCTCTTAGATGGGAGGTGATCTGTGAAAAAGCATGCATCAAATACAAATATATTGCATAGATTCTGAGATGTAAGGTACGACATATGGTTTTGAAAAATGTCTACGGGAATTCTGAGATTTAAACTCGCATCAAAAGCAATAATCATACCAAAAGACCAGATGCCCAGTTAATAGTGTCTTTAAGTTAAACAAGTTCTTTTTTCCTTAGCCTTTGTGGAAAGAATAGTTCTTGGTTTGTAATTCTTCTTTCGGAACAATAGAGTGGAAATGCATGTTGAAGTTTTTTTTTTCTTGGTTGGTATCCAGTAGTTTCAGTGAAAGTGGCAATAAGATCAATCTATTTTACTTGTGATGTTTGAAACTGTCACTGTAAAGAAAATCTAAGAACGAAGCTAGCTTTTCTATTATTATTTCTATCTGAATGTAGTTTGTGACAAATCAGAAACCAAGGCTTGGCACATTATCTGAAATTTTTCTGAGCTGCCATTTGGACGATATGTCTCCCAAGCAAAAAATCAATGGGGCATTCCGAGAATCGAACTCGGGACCTCTCGCACCCAAAGCGAGAATCATACCACTAGACCAAATGCCCTGTTGTTCATATTAATCATTCAATGCACAACTGTTTTTCATACTTGGATACCAGTTTAAGACTGTTTTTTTTTAATGTCTTTTTTTTCACTTCCTGCAGTTATCTCTTGAAGAAATCGGTAGCATTCAGCTAGTTACATACTGTGTTTATTCCGTTATCGAGAAACCGTTTTCTTGCTGCATGATGCGAGTCAGTGGACGTCAAAGCCAAGGTACATTTTGATTCTCATTATATTTGTAGCAGTTTCTACCAAACAGGCATGTAACAGGAAATTGTTCTCTAGTTTAACCTTGCTCGAAATTGTTAGAAAATGCATTAAAGAACATGTTTTTCCATGATAGTTCTTACCTGGTATTTAACTCAGACATCTAAAAAAGTCAATGGGGCATTCCGAGAATCGAACTCGGGACCTCTCGCACCCAAAGCGAGAATCATACCACTAGACCAAATGCCCTGTTGCTACACAATTTATGTTAAATATTGAAGATCACCATATTTGGTCATTTTGTGGTCACTTGCTCTTAGTTTGAATAGGATGTTCCGAGATATATTCTATGAGATCTCTTTCACCATATTTGGTCATATTGGTATGTGATGTTTATAATTTTAGTTTTGGGGTTTGTAATGTAGTATGGATGGAAATGCTCTGGAATTATATCGATCCAATTGTTTAAACCTCTCACGAAGCATCATTAAAAGAGAATAGTCCTCTAGCCCTACACTTTTCAATTAGCTTTCTTACATCAGTCATTTGAAAGCTTTCCAGTAGCTTGATTCATTATGATCTTTTTTGTCTTGACTTAATCATACCTCTATATCTTGGTTATTAACCAGTACCCTAGACAATACAACATTATTATTGGTGAAGCTTTAGGTAAGTACACATGGTTAAAAGCTGAATGTGATCTGTGACAAAGCATCACCAAATACATATATATAGTCAAAGATTTCGAGATGGAACTTACAACATATGGTTTAGAAAAAAATTCAATGGGTTATTCTGAGAATTAAACACGCACCCAAAGTGAAAATCATACCACTAGACCAAATGCCCGATTATTGTGTTCCTCAGTTAAAGCATTCTCTTCGTTTCTTTACCATTTGTGGAAAGAACCATTCTTGAGTAGTAGTTCTTCTTTCTACACAGTATAATGGAAATGCATGTGGCTGAAGTCTCATATCTTTAAGATGAAATGTTGGCAGAAAATTAGAATCATGTATCCAATATATCAATTTCCTTATAGAGTGTACAATGAAAAAGATAATTCTCCTGACTTTGAGAATTAGGCTAGGTAGCTGTTGCCTCCAGAGTTGATGCATGTGCTCTTGTGGATCATTTGAAAAGTTTCAGTTTGCTGCTCGGCCTGTTCTTGATTCTCAAATTCCTGCAAATGTTTTTTTTTCATTAAAATTTGCGTGTGAATGTGTGATACTTTCTCAGTTGATGTGGTTGGGGTTTAGAGAATATAAAAGCACAAGTTATTTCAAGTATAATCTGTGAATGTGTGATACTGTCTCATGTTTTCTGGTATAATATGCAGAAGGGGTGGTTTCTGGTTGAAGAGGTCAAAGTATCAACAGATATAAAAGCTAAACTTTGGTGTTACACCATTAAGTTTGGTTGGGCTCAGCACTTGGTCAACTCTTTATACCTTTCATTTAAAATGGTAAGGATCTGGTCCTTTGATTGTTAAAATGTTTATGAGAAACTAGTGGCCTTTCTAATCTACTCCTGATATGCAAGGGAAGTCATTATTGTTCAATTGCTACAGAGACGTCGTCAGACTTGAGCAAAGGTATGTGATCATTGAAACTTATTGTTTGCCTTTCAACATTTGTTACTGAATTCATAAATTTACATAAAACAGTTTGCATAATCTGACCACCCAAACAACAAACACCTAAGGGCTGATTAATAAAACAGATTTCAGCAAGAAATTTAGAACAAAAAATTTCAAGTAAGCCAATGGGGCATTCCGAGAATTGAACTCGGGACCTCTCGCACCCTAAGCGAGAATCATACCACTAGACCAAATGCCCTGTTGCTAAGCAATTTAGTTTAAACATTAAATGCCACCATATGTATTGTGGTCTCGTGCTCGAAGTTGACTTTTACTTTTAGTCTTGATAGGATGATCCAAGATCTATATTCTGTGAGATCTCTTTCAATTCAGTCCAATGGTATGATCTTTGAAAGTGGATTACTGGTTTGCAATGTACTCTCGATAGATCTAGACCAGAAATAATATTGATCTGCGAAAAGTCACTAGAAGTCGATAGTCTTCCCATCCTACAGTTTTAGTTATCTCTTTATCAATCATTTGAAAACCCTCCAGTAATCCGATTCATAATGATCTCTTTTATCTTAACGTTAGTCTTGATCATGCCACTATGAGTCCACAAGTTCTTGGTTATTGACGACCCTAAACAATACATGCATAATTTTGGTGAATCTTTATGTAGATTAACTTAGTTGAATTGCTGAATGTGATATAAGACCAATCAGGCACCAATTACAGATATATATATATATATGCAAGAATTCTGAGTTGAATAAAATGTATTTTCTTTCTGCAGATCATTTAAAAGGTTTCAGTTTGCTCTTCGGCCTATTCTTGATTCTCAAATTCCTGAAGAGAAAAATTTCATTGAATTCACGTGCGATATATTTCAGTTTGGAGTATATATTGGTACATTACTAGTTTAAGCATTGTGTCATATTTTCAGATTAAATCATCTGCGATGGAGGGAGGTGTTTTCTGGATGAAGTCAATGGATGTGAAAGCAAAATTTTGGTTTTACCTTTCAGTTTGCTAGGTTGGGTTCAGCATTTTAACTAAAAATCCATTGAGAGCTGAAGTCATGGTACCTTTTAGTAAAATTGGTAAGGATCTGGTCCTTTGTTTGTTAAAATGTTTGTACGCAACTACTGCGTCTCTAATCTAGTCCTGATGAAATGCAAGGGAAGTCATTAAAGTTCATTGGCTGGAGTTCACTGATTATATACAGAGACGTTTTCAGACATGAGTAAAAGGTACGTGACAATTGAAACTTATTCTTTGGTTTGCCTTTCACCACTTGATATTGAAAGTTCCAAGGAAATAGGGTTAATTTTCATGCTTACACTTTACGGTAAAATACTTGCTGTTTGGTCTTTAATCTTGACCACTGAAAAAACAAACAGTAAAGGGTAGATTCATAGTTATAACAATTTCAGCAAGATTTTAGAACAAAAGTTTCCAAAAAAGTCAACGGGGCATTCCGAGAATTGAACTCGGGACCTCTCGCACCCTAAGCGAGAATCATACCACTAGACCAAATGCCCTCTTGATTAACAATTTAGTTAAAACGTTGAATAGTTTGGTCATATTTTTTGTTTCGTTCTTTTAGTTGACTTGTACAATATAAATAGTTTAGTAGGCTGTTCCTGGATGTGACATTTTCTTAAATAAAATGATCATTTGTATTGTACTCTGTAATTATACTCCAGTTAGATATTTGTTCAATTTTTTAAACGTCTTCCACCACAAACCAAT